TTTTTTTTTTTTTTTTTTTTTTTTTTTTTTTTTTTTTTTAGCTTAATTATTTAGATTGTTCTTAATGTATTTTCAATTCGTTGTAGGTTTATCAGCAAAGTGTATTGCGCGTAACGGCACAGTAGTGGGTGTAAAGGTGAGCATTGGCAGTGGGCAGCCATGACAATCATACTCTTCCTGGTGGACACCTCGTCGTCCATGTGCCAGAAGGCGTATGTGAATGGTGTGCAAAAGACATATTTGGACATAGCCAAAGGGGCAGTCGAGACATTTCTGAAATATCGCCAACGCACACAGGATTGCCTAGGCGATCGGTATATGCTGCTCACGTTCGAGGAGCCGCCGGCAAATGTGAAAGCCGGCTGGAAGGAGAATCATGCGACATTCATGAACGAGCTGAAAAATCTCCAAAGTCACGGACTCACCTCAATGGGTGAATCGCTGCGCAACGCCTTCGATTTGCTCAACTTGAATCGGATGCAATCGGGCATCGACACCTACGGCCAGGGGCGTTGCCCCTTTTATCTGGAGCCATCGGTCATTATTGTGATCACTGACGGTGGACGGTACTCGTATCGCAACGGTGTCCACCAGGAGATCATATTGCCGCTCAGCAATCAAATACCCGGCACAAAATTCACGAAAGAGCCATTCCGCTGGGACCAGCGTCTCTTCTCGCTCGTACTGCGCATGCCGGGCAACAAGATCGACGAGCGAGTCGATGGGAAGGTGCCGCACGACGACTCGCCCATTGAGCGCATGTGCGAGGTAACCGGCGGTCGTTCTTACCGGGTGCGCAGCCATTACGTGCTCAATCAGTGCATCGAGAGCCTGGTGCAGAAGGTGCAGCCAGGTGTTGTGCTGCAATTCGAGCCCATGCTGCCCAAGGAGTCGAACGGCAGCAATGGCAATAGCAACAGCAGCACCAGCAGCGGCAACAACAACAGCAGCAACAGCAACAGCAGCAGCAGCAGCGGCAACAACAACAACAACAACAGCAACAGTGGCGGCTCGAACAGCAGCAGCTCCACAGGAACAACATCCACCTCAAATGAGCCCACGGCGGACATTGTGTTCCAGCCGATCAAGAAGATGATCTACGTGCAGAAGCACATCACACAGAAGACCTTCCCCATTGGCTATTGGCCACTGCCGGAGCCCTACTGGCCCGACTCGAAGGCAATCACCCTGCCCCCGCGCGACGCTCATCCCAAGCTGAAGATACTAACGCCCGCCGTGGATGAGCCACAGCTGGTGCGTAGCTTTCCCGTGGACAAGTACGAGATCGAGGGCTGCCCGTTGACGCTGCAGATACTCAACAAGCGGGAGATGAACAAGTGCTGGCAGGTGATCGTCACGAATGGCATGCACGGCTTCGAGCTGCCCTTCGGGTACCTGAAGGCCTCGCCGAACTTCAGCCAGGTGCACCTGTACGTGCTGGCGTACAACTATCCGGCGCTGCTGCCGCTCCTGCACGACCTCATCCACAAGTACAACATGAGTCCGCCGAACGATCTCATGTACAAGTTCAATTCCTATGTCCGATCCATACCGCCCTATTACTGCCCCTTTTTGCGCAAGGCCCTGGTCAACATCAATGTGCCGTATCAGCTGCTGCAGTTCCTGCTGCCGGAGAACGTGGACAACTATTTGTCGCCGACGATAGCGAACCAGCTGAAGCACATCAAGAACACGGCCAAACAGGATCAGGAGAATCTCTGCATGAAGGTCTACAAGCAGCTGAAGCAACCAAAGCCGCCCTATCGCCAAGTGGAAACGGCCAAATTGTGCACGGGCGCAGCTCTGCGCCGGGATCTGGTGCGGCATCCGCTGTTGCGGGATACGTTCGCCAAGCTCCACGCGGAGATCGAGCCCGTGGAGAACTATACGATTGTGGTGCCGCAGCTGACGCATCAGTCGTCCGCCAAGTCGTACCGCAATCCGTTCGACATACCCAGGCGGGATCTGGTGGATGAGATAGCGCGCATGCGCGAGACGTTCATGCGGCCCACCAGCATGGTGGCCAAGGACTCGGGCCACTGTCTGCCCATTGCCGAGATGGGCAATTACCAGGAGTATCTGAAGAACAAGGACAATCCGCTGCGGGAGATCGAGCCAACGAATGTGCGCCAGCACATGTTCGGCAATCCGTATAAGAAGGACAAGCACATGGTCATGGTGGACGAGGCCGATCTCAGCGATGTGGCGCCCATGAAGAGCGGCAACAATTCTAACGGCGGCAACGGCGCCAACTCGCCCTCGTCCAGCGGCAACTCCAGCGGCATGGGCCCAGTCGGTGGCGGCGGCATGTCCGGCTTAATGCTGGGCGGCGGCAATGGACTGGGCGGCCCCATGGGCCCCATCTCCAAGAAGCTGGAGAGCACGTCGCGTGGACGCAAACGCAAGGCGGGCCCATTGCCACGCGCCTTTGAGTTTCGGCGCATGTCCGTCGACTCGGTGCGCAGCGTCAGCTCTGGCCCCAGCTCGACAGCCGGCGGCTCGGCCAGCAGCGGCAGCGTGTCGGAGCTGGACCTCGATGAGGATAGCAACAGCAGCTACGGCTCCGAGGCGTCCAACAGCAGCAGCATCAACAGCAACAGCAACAGCAGCAACAACAGCAACAGCAGCAGCATCATCATGAACAGCAACAGCAGCGGCCTTAGCAGCAACAACATGAGCATTGCCAGTAACAACAGCGACTCCGGCATGTCTGTTGGCTCGCAAACGCCGGAGCGCATGAGCTTTGACTTTAGCGAGGAGGAAATCAGCGACCAGGAGACGCCGCTCAACGGCTACGTGCACAATTTTATCAATGGCATCAGCGATGAGGAGCGCGCCAACGAAGCGGACAATAATCCCAGCAGCAGCAGCAAAAGCAACAACAGTAACAACAACAGCAGCATCAGCAGCAACAGCAACAACAACAACAGCAGCAGCAGCGGCGTAATCGCTAGCAGCAACAGCACCAGCGTGATTGTTAGTCCCAGCAGCAACAGCAACATCCCAGTAGCTGCAGCAGCAGCAGCAGCAGCAGCTGTGCCAGATGCATTGGCGACAACAGCTAGCAATAGCAACAGTAACAGCATCGCAGCAATTGCAGCAACCAGCAATGGTGTGCCCGAGTTAAGCGTTAGCAGCAGCAGCAGCAGCATGAATCACAGCGGCAGCAGCAGCAGCATCAACAATGGCAGCAGCAACAGCCATCACAATGCCTGCAACAGCAGCAGCGGCGTCTTCTACTTGCCACTCAATGGCCTAACCATGCAGCATGCGGCCTATAGCAGCAATGTGGGCATGCACACGCCCATAGAAGGTCCGCTGTATATGCTGGAGAGCGGAACGGGAATGCATAAGGTTGGTGGGGGCGTGGCAACGATGCCACCACTGCTGCTGGTGCCCAATGGGTATCCGAGTCACCATGCAGCAATGTTGTCGCCGCCACCAGTGCCAGTGGCAGCAGCAGCAACAGCAGCGGCGGCGGCAACCGTGACGCCAGCAGCAACAACAACTACAGCAGCTGCAGCAGCAGCAGCAGCAACAACGGCCAACAGCAACTCGGCTACGGCAACAACATCAACGACGAATCCAACAACATACTTCAGTCATAACGATATCAATGATGCATCCGAGATCTCGCGCATATTGCAAACGTGCCACAATGGCAACAGCAGCAGCACGATCAACACCAGCAGCAACAACAGCAGCAGCAGCAACAGTAACAACAACAACAACAGCAACAGCAGCAGCAGCAATAGCAGCGGCAACAACAGCAGCAACGTTAGCAATAATCATATAGTAAATGGCTTTCGCATGGATCTGGATCCCATATCGTGGAATTGCTTTGATGCTCTGAAGCGCACGCCCGGCGGCAGCGGCAGCAGCAGCAGCACAACAACGCCCAGCTGGGGCAGCTGGGGTAGCGGCTTGACCAATAGTAACAACAACAACAGCAGCAACAACGGCAGCAATAGCAACAGCAGCAACAACAGCAATAGCAACAACAGCAATCATAATCGAGCCTACAACAACAACAGCCCCAAGCTGGAGCCCAAAGCATCACCGACACACGTCGCCAATAACAACAACAACAACAACAATAACGCCAGTGGCAGCAACAGTAATTCAATCAACGACAACGGCGACATCCGCAGCTCACCGGAACTGATCCTGAGCGAGGAACAGCGCGAAGCCGCACGCAAACATAATATCGATCTGCGAATGCAGGTCTTTCGTGATATACGACGACCCGGCCGGGACTATAGCCAGCTGTTGGAGCATTTGAATATGGTGAAGGGCGATCTGGAGATGAAATCCGATTTTATAGATATGTGCATCAGCGAATCGATGCGCTTCCGGCGACACCAAATGGTCAACAGCATACAGGAGTGGTGGGAGCGCAACCAGCAACAGCTTGAGATATCAAAGAGTTAACGTTGGCTGCTCTGGAACTGAGTGTGCGATATCAGCAGCAGCAGCAGCAGAAGCAGCAACAACAACAACTTGCAACAACATTTAATATGTCTGTGATGTCAACAACAAACAACACAAAAGCTAAAGCAGCCCTCAGCTGAGCATCAGTGTTAGGTGTTAGATGTAGAGCTATATATATATATATATATGCATGTATGTATGTATATATATATATATAGTGAATGGAAGATCTGTTCTAAAATCATACGAATTCATTGCATTCGCAGCAGTGCGCCTGGCCCAAACAAGAAATCTATGTATGTATGTATGTATATACAATAGTTATCTATATATGTATATATACATATGTATAATATTTGATATGTCAATTTTCACATTTCTAGTGAGACAACAAACAAACATACACATACACACAAACACACACAACACACACACATACACACAAATAATTGTATATAGCGAAATTGTCGTGAAAGTTTATCTGTGTCGTGGGGTTTATATTACTATATATATATATATGAAGTGTATTTTTTTCTGTTAGGGTTTGCATAGGGCTGTATTTATATAGTTTTTAAGCATAAAAAAAGAAAAACAAACAAACAGCTAATTTTAAGCATAAACCACTTTAGCTTTAGTTAAATTACGTGTAAAGTTAAATGAAAAGGAAGATAAAAACAAAAATATATATAAATATATAAATAAATATGTAGTATACAGCTAAAAATTAAAAACAATTTGTAGCTTACAGTTTATATACTTAGCTATTAGTCGATTTAGTCTAAAGCATAATAACTGTATTAGACACGTAAGCTAAAAAGATAATAGTTCAGTTCGTAATGCCGTAATAATCGACAACACAAAAATCAAAAACAAAAATATTTAAAAGAAAATTACAAAACATTAATATATATTATTATACGCGCTAGGCTTAAGCATAAAACAAATCACATTTAATGTTTATTTTAATTAATTAAAAAAAAAGAAAAAAAAAATTGGAATGATAATGTCTATTGTAATGCCGCGTTCAACTTGAAATCCTATTTATTAAGTCAGTTATTATTATCCTTTTTTTTTGCTAGAGCTTATTAAAACTCGGTTTGTACGTCATTTAATTCTTAAACGTTAAAACGCTGTTTTTTTTTGTTTTTTTTTTTTCTCAATGTATTGTATTTAGCAGAAATCTAAATTAATTATCTAAGCAACTGATCTAATTATCTACATATATATGTAATAAGCAAAAAGTTTTTTTAAAATTGTTTTTAACCCTTGGCTTAAGTTTGATTTTAGGTTTTAGTTTTTATGCAGCAATTGCAACGTTAATACACACATATAAATATACACACACACATACATACACATTTATATGCATACAAACATTACATACATATAACATATACATATAAACAAATTGAGAAAATGAAACAACAAAATTGTTTTTTTTTTTTTTCAACCAAACAAATAATTTTTTATCGATAAATTTCTATTTGTGCGTTATTACACACTGTTCGTTGGCGAAACGTAAGAATAACCGTTATAACGTATGCCTTTTTCGTTTATCATGCTTGCATCCGTTTCTTTTCTAATTACTTAAATTACAAACGTGTTGGCAAACGCGTCAACACAGCAAAAACAATAGTCGACTTAAAATATGCCTCCAAAAAAAGAACAGTTTTAAAATAATAATACTTACAATTATAAAATCAGGGCAAATCTTGAATTTGATATGAATATAGTTATATGCATGTATTTTTATTTGATTGACACACACACACACACACACACACGATCCCGGACTCACTACGGCTGCTCGCCCTGCCGACTCAGCGGAGCTCATGTATGATATGAATGTATCCCTGTGCCGTCCCTTACATGTCTTTCTTCCCTCCCCATCTTCACTTTATGTTTGCACATGCAATTTGATCACTGGCTCCCTTTTTTCCTAGCTATATATACTATATATTTATTAGCGGCTCTTTTTTCTAGCAATATTTGATATAAATTCAAATTCAAAATCTTAAAACTAACTTCGGGCCTTATTTTTACGGTCAGCTTATTAGCCAATACGCTTGTGAGTTGCCGTGTTTAATTAATTTGCACTTTCCAGGACTTGAAATAATATGTAAATTAAAATTTTAATGTTTGTGGTAATCTTCGTAAGAATTTAAAAAACACATGCAATACAATACACTATCGCTTAAATACAAACGAATTAATAATATGAGGAAATTGTATAATTTAGTAAAGTTTGCTGGAGTGTCTGCTAGTTTCACACTTGAAATGTTAAATGACATTTTAAAAAAATCGGCACTAGTTTTATTTATCAACAATCGTCAACAAAAGGCAGCTGATTATAATCGATTAGTAGTTCATCGATATTGAGCTATCGAGTATCTATTTTGAATTGTTTCAAAGTTTTTCTACCAGTTTTATGTTAGAATAAATCAAATGTGATCTTAATAAATAGTTGCTTCATAATAATAAGCTTATATTATAATAATTAATGTGTTTGGCATGTTCGGCTTGTTGTCAGCGTTGCCATTTAGTTGCAAGCCGCCTGCTGTTCAGTTCGATAATGAACCGGTCACGAGGAGTCAGCTCATTTGTATCGTTCAGTTCATCGTGCAGTCACCTAATGGACAAACCCAACACTAGCGCCTGACAGTTGTTGGGCGAGTGGCAACGGCAAAGGCAAAGGCGAAAGAGGCGAAAGCAAAAGTGAATTAAGGAAAGCAGAGGCAATATGCAAAATTAATGTGCGCTCCGCACGTTGTTTGCTGTTAACTGTTTAATCGCAATGTAAACTATAAACAATTGCAATTGCTAGCCCATAACATACACTCGCTCTCACACATCTGATTCACTTAACAAATCACGGCGTGTAATACCGATTTCTGTTGCAGTTGCAAGTTACTACGATTTACCAATTTCCGTGTTATTATTTCTGTTTTTTTTGTGTGTGTGTATGATTTGCGGAAAGTAAAAGTGGCTGCCGCTGCGGCCTGCCTTTGCCTGTATGTGTATTTGTGTTCGTCTCGATTACATTCATGTTCATTCGGTTGCGTTTGTGTGTGTGTGCGCGCGCGAATGTTTGTGTGTAAAAAGAAGTTGCAGAAATACAAAAGTTACGCAAAAACATAGCAAAATTGTGTAAAATAACAACAACCACAACGACAACAACAAAACCTGCCGCCTGCCAGTGTGCGTCTGTGTGTGTGCTTGGGTCTGCCTGCGTCCGTGCGTGTGTGGGTGGGTGTGTGAGCGTGCGTGCGTGTGTGTGTGTGTCTCGGCTCTGCTCTGCTTGGAGCGCAGCGTACCGGCTGCACAGAAATGAGCGAAAACAACGGCACCAGCGGCACCACCATCACAGCCGCCAATGGACCGCGCGTCGTCACCATCCACAAGACGGAAACTGGCTTCGGCTTCAACGTGCGCGGACAGGTGTCCGAGGGCGGCCAATTGCGTTCAATCAATGGCGAGCTGTACGCTCCGCTGCAGCACGTCAGCGCTGTGTTGGAGAACGGAGCCGCCGAGAAGGCTGGCATCAAGAAAGGCGATCGCATACTCGAGGTGTAAGTATATACCGCCCCTAGTGAGAACAATAAAGTGATAGCATAATATAATGAAATACAAGCAATAGCGAAACTTCAAGGAAGCTTCATGTTTGACCTGTTTGTTCGCGCCCCGCCCCGCACCGCTGCTCTGGCGTGAGTGAGAGTGAGCGAGCGACCCACCCACAAAACGTCTCCACTCGAAATGGAAAGAAACTTAAAACTGCCGCTTGGAAGTCCTGGAATCAATAAACACTGTTCACTGTATGTGTGCGTGTATGTGTGCGTGAGAGAGAGAGGGCTGTAACTGAAATTCGCTGTCATCATATCTGGCAACCGTTTGTTGCTGCTTCTTTAGCTTCTTTCTATTGTTGTTGTTATGGCGTAATATTTATACCATTGTTTGGCCACACTTACATGCAAACATTCACACTTGCGCGCACCTACATAAAGACACATAAGTATATACGTACATACATATCTATGTATGTACACATACATATATGAGCGCCCACAGAGCCAGCTAATTAAAATGCTGCCCTCGCTCCCTCTGCCGCTCTGCATGCATTGCTGCTCTCTGTCACTCCACTCAGACGCTCATTTATATGCTCTCTCAGTGTTTTTTTGTGTCGTTCTCTTGTATTGTTGTTTTTCTTTCTTTTGCAGTCTGTCCTTTGCTAAGCTTTTTGTTTTGCATCTTTGACATTTTGCGTTATCGTCGCTCAGCCAAATGCTATCAATCAATGCATGCTGCATATAATTGAGTTTTGTGGTGGTCGCCCGTGTTGTGATAACCTTTTCAGCCCCATGCCCCACTCTCGCGCGCTCTCGCTCTCTCTCTGTATATGTCTCTGTCTCTGTCTTTCCCTCTGTCTCTTTGACAGCTGCGGAAACCTGCGCACAAATTCAATTAATAAATTTAGCTATTTTGTTGCGCGGCGGATAACAACTTAATTATCGTTCGCATCGCACACCCGCAGCTCCCACAGTCAGCCCACAATTCACCCACTGCACATAACTGTGCTTGCCACGCCTCGCACGCTTCTCGCTCCCCGCCCCGTGCAAGCACACGCCACAAATTGGCAAATGTTTATTTTTCATATAGACTTTTTTTATTTTTACGAATTTTCGCACTTTTTGCTGGCAGCACGTCATTGTCGTTGTTATTGTGGCCGTAGCTGTTGTTGCTGTTGTTGTTGTAGTTGCTGGGTGGCCCATTATTTGATTATGAATGTACTGAAGCAAGAACAACAATTACTGTTATGATTTGGTCGCACGTGTGCAAACAAAGCAACAGTAATCAGAGCTTCACAAACATCCAAATAATTTTTTTTTGTAAATTTTTAATTTTTGTTTTGTTTTACTTTCGTTACGCGTTTTATATTACTCCCATTCGTTAAGAGCGCAGCGTTTAGAGGTTCATTTGAATTGAACCAGTTCAAGTAGAATTTTTCGTTTATCTTCTTCATTGCACTTCCTCTTTAAGCTTTAGCTATAAATTATAAGACTGTTTGACTCAACGGCTGTTAATATAAAAGATTCACAAAATTTATTGCTATTTTTATCGGTTCACTTTTGGAAATGAATTCATTTGTGAACCAGTTTAGCTACTTTTTCTTAAGATACGGAACTTAAATGGCAAACGATCTTATTAAAGTTCATATTTATATAATCTATTTACGATCATATTATCCAGATAGTTAAATTTCAAATTTGGCATTCCTTGGGATTAGTCTGAAATATTAACGATTTATTTATTTTGCTCGTTCTTACACATTATAGCTCATTTTGTTTACGTATTATTACTATTTATATATGTAATGGGGCTATTTATGACATACGTTTGTTTACACTTTGATAATAGTTTTGCATTGATATGCAGCTCTATATATGTACATATACATATGTATATAGTCATTTTGTATTCGTTTATTTTGTACGATTATAAATGACTCGACTTTTAAGCTGTACCTTGATAATGCAAAGCCAGCTTATCTGAGAATTTTTTGTATATTTGTACATATGTATATATGTATGTATATGGCTATATACCCTAATAATTAGAATGTTTAGCTACAATTTTATTGCCTTTGTTTTGTTTGCAATGTAATTTGATTCTCTTCCGTTCTCATGAATTTATTTCATTATTTCAGATAAATATATATACATATGTATGTACAATACATGTTTACTTTCGCAACTGTTTTAAGATCATTAATATTGCAAACCATTTTCAAATGTCACAAATTGGACTTAGCTGTATTGATTTTCCACTCTGTTTATAGTAGTTGAAGTGTGGGTCCTTTAACTAAGAAATATGTGTATTAGAATATATTCGATTAATACAATAATTCTTGAAAACGATATGGGAAATAAAATGTATATATATATATAAATTTGAACATATTTATTATTATCCTTACATATCTCATTTACATATTTACTTATGGTCAATCAAATGTTCATACATATGAATATATCTATAATATACATCACTTACATATTTTATTTATATATTTTTAAAACTTTTCATATTTTGTTTGAAGTTACATTCAAAGATCATTCACATGCATAAAAGGATTTGTTTAATTCGTGATATTATGTCGTTAGCAGTTACGCTTGCCCAGCCCTATTTTCCTCCAGCCCTGTTTTTTGAGTGTCTCTCATACACGAACTTCTCCATTAACTCTCACTCTCGCTCCATCTCTCTTGCTCTTTCACTCTCTTTTTCGTTAGCGCTGACTTTGAGGGGCGTTTTTTTTGTTGTTTTTGTTTTTGGGCTTTTCTGTTGCCGGTTGGCAACCGTTAATGCCGCCTCTTCGCTCCCTCCACATCCGCCTGGTCGTCGTGCTTATCAACATTACAGTTTTACTTCAGGGCGCTGCACAGGGATAAGGTTTGGGGGTGTATGTATATGTGAAATTTCTCTCTCTCATTGTTTATTCATCAGAAAAAATGCTTTGCAATAATTTGTTGCTAATTACTCATAGACGGGGCCATAGATGCTCGAGCAGGCGTTGCACGCCCCTTATAACGCCCACCGCTTGCTGCTGCTGCTCCTGCTCTTGCTCCTGCTTTTGCTGCTGCTGCCACTTGGTGGGCAAGCTGTTGCAGAGGGTGCCATTGCAGCGCACACAGTAGGGATCGTTAGCGCTGCATTCGGGCACCTCGCCGGCACAGCCACGCACCGTATAGACCAACTGGAGACGGCTAAGGACGGTGCTCACGCACAGCTCGGCTGGGCTGCTGCAGTTGCTCTGCGCCATGGCGCTCGGCAGCTGCATGGCAGCGCAGTCGTCGCCGTGCTCCAGCGAATTGCACCGATAGCAGCTGCGCACCGACCAACGGTTGCAGCCGTCGCTGCTGCGGCAGAGCTGGCAAGCCTCGCCGCTGCCGGGCACGAAGTTAGCATCCGCGCAGCCGCGACGCAGCAGCGTATCTGTGGACATGAATGGGAGGAAGAAAAGGAATAGGTGAATAAAAGAAACAAGAAACAATCTGGAAGGAAGCATAAATGTTATATGCTAATGCGTTAAGTTGGCTGCGCGTGACTAATGCGTGTGAGCCAGTGTGTGTGTGTGTGAGAAAGAGAGAGAGAGATAGAGAGCTTCAGGGCTGCAAGCAGGTAATAAACAGTTCCTGGTGTAGTAGGTGCAGCGAGCTAGTTCGCAGTTTCTCTTTATTTTGGCAAAATAGCAACAATTAATATATATGTAAATCGTATTTCAGCTGTTCAAATGTAATTGTGAATTCAGTATTCAAAAATTCATAGAAGCCATGAAGGTCATTTATCGAAATAATTATTTTACAGAGTGGTTCATATGTGTTTAAAAATCGCTGACTGAGCTTAATTTTGGAATTAAAATAATTGCTTAACGAGAGAGTAGTTCAAAGGGAGGGAGAGTGGCTAATAACTGAAACTGGACAAATGAATTAATTAATTTTAATTGGAACTGGCTCATATTAACGCAGTGCCTGTCCCACCCTAGCCTGGCTCAAAATTGGAACTAGTTCACATTAACGCAGCGCCAGACTCACCCTAACCTTGCTCGCACGAGTAACAGGCCGTAGTGCCCGGAGCGCACTGTTCGCTCTTCAGAGCATGGCCGCTGCGGCAATTGGGATTGCTGGTGGAGTTGCAGGTGGCGCAGGCAATGTCCTGGCATTGGGCGTTGCAGTTGTCGCCATAGCACTCCTGCAGCTGGCCGGTGGGGAAGAAGCCCATGGTGGTGGAGCAGCCGCGCTGGAGCACCTCCGTTTGGTTATTGTGGTGCGTGAAGCAGCGCTCCCGATGGCCGTACATCACCTTGTTGACGCACTGCGTCACAGTGGCATTGGAGAGCGCACACTGGCTGGACTGCTCGGGCTGCTGCTCGCGCTGGCAGTCCGGATTGCCCGCCAGCCGATTCGACGTGCACTGCAGGCAGTGGCTCTCGCTGACCGTTAGCTCCGCGTTGCAGCCGTTGTAGTTGCACTTGAGGCAGACGTGGGGGCAGTCCGGGGGCAGATTGGTGTGCTCGCAGCCGCGCTGCGTGTTGCTCAGGTGCAGGATGTTCGTGTAGCAGCGATCCTTCTCGTTGTACACCGGGCAGGGCAGCAGCAGCTCGGGCCGAGTGCTCACGTCGATGCAGCTGGCGCCGCTGCACTGGTAGCAGCGCAGCCGATCCACCGGAAAGACGTGCCGATTGCAGAGGCTCGTAGTGCAGCGATCGCAGCGCTCGCCGCAGTAGCCATTCGGATAGAGGCGACGCAGGCAGCCGCGACGCGTCACTCCCGCTGTAACGGAGGTCACACACTCATCGTTCGGCTGGCTGCACTCCTCCACCTCCAGCTGCTGGCCCGGCCGTGTGGCGCACTCGGCATCCTCGGCCGAGTCGCAGGCGTAACATTCCAGGCCAACGGCCGCCAGGAGCAACTGCATCACAGTCAGAATCCATAACAAGCGCCTTGAGCTTCGCATCTTCTCGCAGCTGTTGCCACTTTTCGACTGTCCAACAAAGAAATCCAAAACGAGTTGGGCTTAGCCACAATTTCAGATTAGAT